TAAAACATTTAAATCATCTATATTGAAATACACACCGAAAATACGACTTTCAATATATAATAGTCACAATAATAACCGAAAGAGAATGAATGTTATAATTGGCACAACTAAAATCTCAAAAAGCTATCGTATTGTAATAAACTAAAGTTACACAATTAAAAAAATCTAAAACATCAAAGTACATTAATATATTTTCTTCCAACTGGATACTAAATATATCAATGGCATCATGCAACTCCATTTCTTCAACTTTATACTTCATGTGAGGCAGGATCAAGATCTCGAAACCATTCTACCAGGTTTGATAGAACTAAATACAATTTCTCTAATTTTCACATTCTTGTCTGATATATTAGTTCTTGCTCATCTTTTTATGGTTTTCTACAACAATTTCCTTTATGAAAGTGTTCATCTCCTTTCTCTAGGTGTTCATAACTCTTCTCATATAATTGGTTTGAATGATTGAAAAAAGACCATCTGGACTCTTCCACACATTGTCCAACAATTACATGTTCTCTTTTCCCTGGTTTTGTCTCATTGTTCTTCACTTTAACCTACAAAAAATAATATACTACTTAGAGAGTGATAATCAAGAACTCAAAAACAAGATACACTGGCGTGTAAAACAAAACAAGATATACTAGGCTGTAAAGAGAGAGAAATACAATGTAATACTTTGAGTCCTACCACTTTGTTAATACTGGTGTGGAAGCTAACGAGGAGTAAAATGATGCAAATCAAGGCTTAAGTGAGAAAATTGTAGGCATCAACTCCATCATAAATCTAAAAAGATGTTGCTCAAACACCAAAACCCGCTAATCAACTTGAAAATTGAATATCTGCTTGCTTACGTGTTGTACAAAAGCAAAACTACTAACCTGGTAAATAAATTGATCCGGCGGTTTTAGTCAGGCGTGAAACACTGGCTGACACGGTAGCATCTCTCATCTGTAGGGAGAAGACGATTCTTCACACCAGGGGCTAGGCCTAGGACTTCAAGATTCAACAATTTGGGAGTAATGACTAAACAACAATGACTTAGCAGTACATCCAAGTGTTGAAAGAACTGTAGTGCTAGTACATCCAACTTGATGCTGAATACTATGATAAGAAGTCATTAGTTAAAGTTAGCCAAGTGTATACTAAGCAAATCCGAATGAAAAAGCAACGACGAGAAAGAACTAAATCTCTCTGTATCCGATTTTTTAGGCTCACAAGCTGAGCACAAAACCCCGACATCTTCAAAATAAGTTTTCAATTATCCCTTTTTAGCCCGTGAATGATGAATTAAAGAAACAAAACCTTGCTTTCAATTTTAATGTGCACATAGTTTCCCCTTTCAATCTCCAAACTGGACGTGATCATCAGCTTCTACAACATTGAGATTAGAATCTTGAGTGTAAACCTGTTCCCTGCTAGAGTTCTGCCAAACATCTTTCAACAAATCATTTTACTCTTTAACCCCAACTATTGATAACAAAACTTAGATTATGATATAAGTGTGTGAAAAGAGAAATACATACTTGAAGTTCAGTGTATCTAACTCTTTTCAAGAGACCTTGGGAGTGATTCCCCATAATGACAAATTTTAAAAATTCCAGAAAAAGGTAAACTCATAGAGACATTTTTACATACACATTCTAGGCATTAATAAATTAAGGTTTTAGAATTCCATATCCTCAAGTCAATCCCGAAATTAGAACAAATAAACAACCGAGAAACCAAATACAAGAATACATCCCTATGTATGAAATTATGTATGTATCAAATACCTGCCATAAAAATTTAAGTTTACCGAAGTTGAATGGAAGCAAGGAGAATAGGATTAGAGAAGATCGGAGATGATCTAATTGATGCGGAAAGGTGGTAGAGATGATCCGTAAACTCTTCCGTCTTCACCGTCACTCAGTCTTGCGGCGTTTCTGGGTGTTATTTTTTAGGTTAATAACAAGTAGAGTTATGCATAAGGAGTACTTGTATTACGGATCCGGAAAAAAAAGTTAGGAGTTTGTCTGGGTTATAAATAGTTTGTATAATTAATTACTTTTGTATAATTAATATTTCATTATTTTACCCTTTCATAAGGAGTTTACGGATCTGGATCAAAAGAAGTTTGTATAATTAATCACTTTTCCATTTAAAAAAGAGAAAATGGAAATAAATAATCCAACCTTTTAGCGGTCTTCTTTTAATAGTCCAACCTTTTCATTATTCATGAATAATCCAACCTTTGCACCTCATCTTCATTCATTGGTCCCCGACCGGTTGATGAGCTGCTATTCCGAGTTATTTTCTTATCCCTGCAAACTATTATACCATAAATTCCACCTTTCACAAAGATAATATTTTGCAAAGATAAGAAAATAACTTGGAATACCAGATCATCAACCGGTCAGGGACCATTGAATGAAGATGAGGTGCAAAAGTTGGATTATTCATGAGTAACGAAAATGTGAGACTATTAAAAGAAGACCGTTAAAAGGTTGGATTATTAGTTTCTATTTTCCCTTTAAAAAATTACTTTTTCAACAAATCCATAAGGGAAAAGTAATTTAGTTATACAACACTAATTTGGGTTTAGTTTTTACTTTTTAGGATTTTTTCTTGGACTAAAATTTTCTGATTTAGTCTGGTCAGGTTTGATCTGGTCTGATCTGGTAAATATTTGATCTCTGAGTATTTTACAATTGTCTAAGTCTAATCTGGAGTGATTTGCTCCAGTCTGGAATTGAGACAAGTTCAATTAAAAACATCCTAACAAATAATTTATCTTAAAATTATATAAAATCTTACGTAGTAACAATAATTGTTGGGGTAGCATTTAATTAATCAAAAAATCATACTAATAGTACTTCGAGAAAAGTTGTGGACAAAAATGCGATTTAATAGTTTTTAGTGACTGTTATTGTGTTGAAACTTTATATCATATTCACCAGAAGTTATTAAGTTACATTTTGGTCTGTGACTTTTTTTATTAATATTTTAAGAAAAGTCTCGATAAAAATTTGCTTTTGAAAACTAAAAGTTAAAATTGTCTAATAAAAAAGTACTTTTAAAAAATAATAGAACAGTTGAAATGTAATTTAGGAAAACCCTCTTACATTTAATTTAATTAACCGGAGACAGAAGTTGCACTAGACATATTTAAATGCATAATTATAGATTGCACAATTAGTGTCGTGTATATATATCATATTCATATTATTAGTTATTGCAATACTTCACTAATCACCATTAATGTTACATAATACTTAATATATGCAACACATATAAGCAAGTGTTGCATAAATCTACGATTTAGAAGTTTATGCAACACTTTTATGTAAGTGTTACAAAATTATAATATTAAATACTTTATGCAACATAAAAAAAAAAGTGTTACAAACAAAGTGTTGCAAAAAATCACTTTTGTTGTAGTGGTACTAAAAATAATCCTATTAATTACAGGGATCAATTAACTTAATGGTCAGTCAAACATCATAAACCGCGTGGGAACAGGTAGGACGCAGGGAGTATTAAGATTCTTTCGGAATAGTGTTTTTTTGGAAGAGTAAGGCTTAAATTGATATCACAACATTCAAATAGGGAGTAAAACAACAAAAGGACCACAGACAACCACCAACTCTCAAACCAGACTTAGATTCAATCACCTTCAAAAGAGCAATATGACTTGCTAATCCTATAATGAGCAAAAATGAGCCAACGACAGTTAAAGCAGACCTCCTATCACCCAAGCCTAATGCAAGAGTCTTACAACAATAATAGTAACTGATAGAAAAATAGACTGATCATGAAAAAAAATACCAAGCAAACAGTAAAATTAAAATGTTGCTTCCAAACCTTAGACTCTCTTGCACTCCATGACGGCGGTGCAGGAGAGAGACGGTCTAGCAGTACTGTATCTTCTTTCTCTCCTTGCCTCTTATTCATCATATTCTCTACCAAGCTTCCTCTGTCACCACCTAACACGGATGACCTCGATTCCATATCTGTTCCAACCCCTTGCCCCACGCTTCGTCCATGACCTTCTGATCTCAACCATGAACGACATCCTCAAAACTCTCCACCTACTGCTAGGGAAGCACAACCTTTGTCCGCCATATAGGCGTTGTGACCTGCCGAAGAAGAAAACCTCACGAATGGCAGAAGAAAGCCGTACAAGAAAAGTCGCATTTCGTTGAAGACGAAAGCGGAAAAAACGACCTCTAAATCTAGGAAAGACGGCCGCTGCTATGCTAGGGTTTCTCTCTTAGAGAGAGAAAGTTTACGAAATTAATTTTTTGTATTCTATGCACTATGAAATAACATATTTTGTGTGATGATAAATAGTTTAAGATGATCAAATAGTGAATTTAATTTTATTAAGTTTAAAAAATCAAAGAATTAATTTAAAAAAAAGGAAATAATGTGTTCGAGAATTCATAACAAAACTAAAACTAATATTTATGAATTTGAATTACTTCATTTACAAGGGAAAATATTAAGTTTTTGAACTTAAATGTACGTTTTAATTTTTTATTTTATTTACAGTTAATAAGAATAAATTTGCTACTTTATAACTAAACTAGGACTATTTTTCCACTTTTTAAAGTTGAGAAGTACTCTGTATATTTGTACTTCCACATTCCACATCTAGTTCACTTAGATTTGTGCACCTCAAAAATACTTTTTGTACACACTATTTTTGGACAGACAAAAAATATTCCTTTTGTGACGTTAGAAGGTTCCCGTTTATGGTTTACCAGGTTGACTGACGATAAAATAACTTAATTCTTATTCACACTTTGATTATTTTTAGTAAATAAAATTTACATATTCAGAAAATATATTAAAACACTATAAAGCCTGATAAAACAAATATATATTTGATAAAAATTTGACATATAAAATAAAAGATTAAAAATAATTTAAACTGATCATGTAAATAGTAAAGAATACGGAGTAAAAGATAAAAAATGATTTAAGTAGTACTCCGTATATGTAGAAGCTTGTCTAGCAAGCTCCACGCACCTATCCCATATCCTTATTTATTCCTTACAATCGACAAGCTTCCGTTGCTCAATGATTCATCATCGTTCCGGTTGCTCTCAAGCTGAAAGCCCGCCCATCTCTGTAAACAAACACAGAAGTCCTCTGCCGCGCGCACCTCCCGCGGCTCTCTGTCTACTGCAGCTTTCAGGCCCGGCGTCCGTAGCTGGCCGTCTGCTAGGCCCCAAACTTTAAATCTTCAACTCAGTAAGTATTGTTCAACTGCTCCCAAACTTTAAACTTCTTAGGCTTCAAACTTCAATTTATGTCTTCAATTAAAATTACTTGTATATCAATTTTCGTCATCTGCTGTTTCACGTGCTTGCTGTGGTGCTGCCTAGCTGCTACATGCCTACATTACTTTTTACTTTGTAATTTTAGTCATTGGTTTATTTTTAATACTCATGAAAAATTATTTTCTGTGTGTCATACCTTAATTAACCTGAAATCTCTGACTTCATCTTCATCACCATTGAGAATCGTTTTGGTTACATTAAAAATGCTTGATACATAAAACAGAACCCGGGGAAACAGATTTTAATGTGAATTTAAGGAATTCAAATTTGCTTATCATCATAATCATGTCATGGATGTGCAATAACTAATAAATTTTACCTTATATTTCTTGGCACTACAACACTATAAAATGATGATGATTGGTGCAGGGTCATTCTCTTTGTATGTCAAGAACTGTTGTAGGCTTGTAGCAGGATCCCCCATAGTGTGCAGGAAACTACATTTCTTCTAGAAAATAATGAAAGTCCATATCAGCAAAATAAATCTCCATTAACATTAATGATCGTTCGTTTTCTATCACTGTTTTAGGACTTTTTTGCACAGAAGTTTGTCAATGATATCAGGATTAATATTGTTGGGCAGAGTGGTTCTCACATAAAGAACTGGTTTGTATAAGTTTTTGGAAATATCTATTTCTGCTTTTTCATGTATTAGTTCTTCTGCTTGAAGAGAATCAGACAAAGTGAGGTTGAATGTAATCGAGGATTCAATATTAAATACTTCAAAAGCTTCTGTCTTGTTGAAGAACTCGAGCTTAAAAAAAATTTAGGTGTTTTGAAAGACATGTAGTTTCCTTCACAACATTTTTTTATAGCTTATACATGGCCTTCTTTGAACAAAGGAAGAAACTTTACCATGAACATCTGAGGCACTTGGGCAGGATTTTTATCCCCTTTGGAGTGAAAAACAATGAGTTAGAATTGTAATAAAGGTAGATTCTAAGATTAAAAACTTGACAGCAATATTCCTCTTCATCTTGAAATATGCATTCAAGGGATTCTTGAAATAGTACACTCTTACAGCTCTAACCATGAATGCCCATTCATTCTTTTTTTGGTTTTAGTCTTTTACCAATTACCAACGACCACATGCCCAACATTTTTGCAGAAAGATGTTTGTAAGCTGAGAAAAACACTAAAATCAATAAGAATCGTTTGATTTAGGAGAACTATGAATTATGGGTCATCTTTTTATAGCAAACTGAACAAATATGCATGCGTGAGATAAGAATTGCCCAATATTTTAATAAGTGCTACCTCCGTCCCACATAAAAGTTTTCATCCATTATTCTCCAATCAACTTAAAGTGCTCTTAATTTTGTACTTTATATATCCAACTTTTATCAAATTTGAGTTTTTTTTTGTGATTTTATAAAACTTTTTATGTAGTTTTTTAAATATGTAATTTTTATTTACTTAAAATGACTTTATCGTTGACAGGGGTCAATTAATAATTAATTTTACGATCATTCAAACGTCCTAAACTGAACGGGATCATTTACCCGGGACGGATGGAGTACCTTTTTGTTTGCGAATTGACATCATGACATGTAGCCTAGCCTTTTACAAAACAGTGAATTACAATTTGTACATTTAAATCTATAATGTTGCAATTAAATAAATTCACAAATAGTGAAAACATTAATTGTTTTGGTGTTGGTGTATGGGGGAGCACACAAATGTGATTTAATTCAATTATTTAATATATAAGTGTGTGTTCAGGCCATAGAAATAACACAGGTACATAGGTGGAGCCTGCTGCAATCACAGAGGGGAGTACGACAAAATCTTATATTGAGGAAGCCCATCATATAATATACTCCGTGTTACTGTAATTTTACTCGATGGTTCTGGTTTGAAGAGGCTGTTTGATTTACTATTTAGTCTATGTAAATACTACCTATATAAGTGTGTATAGGAATGGTGGAATGTATTAGGGTCCACAGATAAGGTGTGAGATATTTTGAGCGGGAGTACTATTCCTCAAACCTTTTCTTGTTAGATACTCCGTATTAAATAGATTAATATTGATGGGTAACATTAACTGCACAATTGTCTCATTACATATATTACAATTTTAGTTTTTTGTGCTCAATTTTGTACATTAAGATATCCTTCGTATTAAGAAGAAAGAGAATGGAGTCCTCTTGCAGCAATGGAAGTTCCATTTTGAAACCTACTGAGAACAAAAAAACTGGAGAAGAGAGCTTTTCGGATTCTAGCTCTACCAATGTTAAGGTGAAGCGCAAAAGAACAACAATAAGCAGAGCCCACATACACGAGTTTAAGGTATTTTGCTTTCATTGTGGGTTGTTTGTGAAAAGTGGTTGTATGTGAATCATCAAATATTCTGTAATTTGTATTAATCTTTTTCAGGTATATGATGATAAGCTTCGTGAATTTGACTTCAACCGCCAAGAAGTTGATATACTTCTAAAATCTATAGCTTCATGGATTGACGGTAAAATGCCATGCCTAAAAGGGGTTGTCTCTTGTGCATTTACTCATAGTGCATTTACTAATGTTGAATGTCTAGCTATGGGAGAATATATGCAAAGATGCCCTTTCCGTCCTACATTTTCCCAGTTAGAATGTGTACCCATTGCAATGTTGCTGAAAGCTCATGCATCAGTCATCTTACACCCGGCTGAGGTAATAATTTCAGAAATGATCCGAAGTGATTAATAATTTCATTGCTTTCGTGTACTATAAACTAGAAATCCAATGCAATTAATGTTCTCATTGTTTGGCAGATTTTCTTTATTTTGAATCATCTGCATTGTTCTTTGGACGACTTTTGCATGACCTTGATATCAACAAAAGAAGAGGTGAAGTTTGACTACAAGACTGGAAGCCTTGAGCCGAAGCCGGATGATAGTGCCACAAGTCAGGTACTTGATATTCTTAGTACGATTGATTTTTGTTTTTCAAAAATTCTTTTGTACTATATTCTCATTCACTTTTGACATAAATTTGTAGATGGTTGTCCAAGGCATAAGAAAGATCTATGGAGTTGTCTTCGACAAATTTGAGCTGCTACGTTTTATATATAGACCGACTTACGAGAAGTATTTTGAATCCCACATTTACAACACGTATGATGTGGCCTCATAACTCTACTGTTTGGGATTCATAACGTATATATAACCGGAACCGGCCCGGCCCGGCCCGGGTCCATCCCCACATTTCAGCTGCCATTTCCTTACTATGACATGGTTATGTTTTGGTCTACCATCACCACTAGGGATGGACTCGGGCCGGGCCAACCGGCCCGGAACCGGACCGGCCCGCTACTGTGCGGGCCCGGACCGGCCCGGTGAACCGGTTCGGTTCCGGTTCGGGCCTCCCGGCCCGGTGGTATACCGGTCCGGGCCCGGGCCTCCAGTTTAGTGAACCGGCCCGGCCGGGCCGGGCCCGGTTCGGGCCGGAATTAATTTTTTTTTTTTTTTTTTTTTTGAAATTTTTTTAAGTTTTGGGTTGGATTAGGTATTTTGGGCCATTTGAGGTGGTTTGGGGTGGAGGGGGAGGGGTAGGGGGTTAAATAAGAGAAGAAGAAGCAAAAAAAAAAAAAACATTCCGGGTGGCCCGGCCCGGCCCGGCCCGGTTCTGGCCCGGAACCGGAACCGGAACCGCCCACCACCGGTTCGGGCTCGGGCCTCCTTTTTCTGAACCGAGGCCCGGCCGGGCCCAGGCCCGAACCGGGCCCGAACCGGAACCGGTCCACCCCTAATCACCACGTTTTTTGTTTGTGAGGTGCTGGATTCTATAAAAACATCTGTTTAAATATTTAACATGTTCAACGACATGGATGCCTTTGAAAGTTTGAATGAAAGATGTCTATATATTTAACATGTTCAATAGCAGTAACTAAATAAACAATAAAAGAGTAACTCTTTGACAGTAACTAAACACAAAAATATATGTTTAGTTTTGTAATAATAAATGTGTATATATAGTCACTATCATTGGTAGGGATGGACCTGGGCCAGGCCGGTTCCGGTTCGGGCCTGAGCCCGGCCGGGCCTTTGTTTGGGAAGAAGGGAATCGGAACCGGCCCGGGTGAATGGCGGTTCCGGGTCGGGCCGGGCCACCTGGCGGTTTACCGGGCCGGGCTGGTTCCGGGCTTTTTAATTTTTTTTGTTGATTCTTGAATTGAAATACACATACACAATGATGGGGTATATGGCCCGGGAACCCCCGGCCCACAGACTCCTACTAATCTATCACAAGCCCAACAAGCCCAAGGAGCTCAGGAGGCCCAAGATTCGGCGGCCCAAGCGTCAAGAAGCCCACAGTACACACAGGGATGCCTTCGGCCTCCTTGGCCGAAGGCTCCAAAACTCACAGAACCGCCATATTCGACCATGCGAAGCTACAAGGAGAAAACGACAAAAAACAGGAGCCTTCGGCACTGGGGAGCCCTCGGCACCAGGTGAAGCCCTCGGCTAGGCCTGGACTCGGGCCGGGCGGCCCGACCCAGAACCGGCCCGGCCCGGCCACTGTAGCAACCGGCCCGGCCCGGTGGCCCGGTTCACCGGCGGTTCGGGTCGAACCGGCCCGGTGGTTCCCGGTTTCGGGCCCGGGCCTTCCATATGGTGAACCGGCCCGGCCGGTTTGGGCCCGGTCCGGGCCGGAAATAATTTTTTTTTTATTTTTTTTTGAAAATTTTTTATGTTTTGGGTTAGATTAGGTATTTTGGTCCATTTGAGGTGGTTTGGGGTGGTTTGGGGTTGAGAAAGAAAGGTAGGGGATTAAATAAAGAAGCCAAAAAACAAAAAACAAAAATAGGGCGGGTGGCCCGGCCCGGAACCGGCCCGGAACCGGCCACCCCCGGTTCGGGCTCGGGCCTCAATATTCTGAACCGAGGCCCGGCCGAGCCCAGGCCCGAACCGGCCCGGTTCAGTCCACCCCTACCCTCGGCTGAACCAAGCCTTCGGCTACACAGGGAGCCTTCGGCCATACATGAAGCCTTCGGTCATACATGAAGCCTTCGGCCACACAGGGAGCCTTCGGCCATACATGGAGCCTTCGGCCACATATGGAGCCTTCGGCCACACATGGAGCCTTCGGCCACACATGGAGCCTTCGACCATACATAAAGCCTTCGGTCATACATGAAGCCCTCGGCCATACATCAAGCCTTCGGCCATACATGAAGCCCTCGGCCATACATCAAGCCTTCGGCCACACAGGGAGCCTTCGGCCATACAGGAGCCTTCGGCCACATATGGAGCCTTCGGCCGCACATGGAGCCTTCGGCCGCACATGGAGCCTTCGGCCATACATGAAGCCCTCGGTCATACATCAAGCCTTCGGCCATACATGAAGCCCTCGGCCATACATCAAGCCTTCGGCCATACATGAAGCCTTCGTCCATACATGAAGCCTTCGGCCATACATGAAGCCCTCGGCCATACATGAAGCCCTCGGTCATACATGAAGCCTTCGGCCACACAGTGCCTTCGTCCACACAAAGCCCTCGGCTACGCGAGGAGCCTTTGGCTAAACGGACTCAATCATCGAAGATTCCCTTAGGAGACAGCCAACCACCGCATTTAATGCGACGTCACATCCACCCACCGCATTTAATGTGGGGAACGTGCGATGGTCGGTGCCACCCCGATTGATGTGACCCCTCGGCTGTTGGATTACTGACACGCGTACTCTCATCACATTTATTGCTGCTATAAATAGCAGCCCTTATTCTCCTTGTAAACCACGCTGAGTTCATTTAATAGAATCGACTCTCTCTCCTCCTATTTACTCTTACTTTTCTCTAGTTATTCCCGCAATAACCCCTCGGATAGGATACCCCCCGGGTAGACTGTCCATCATTTGGTGCTCTCGTTGAGAGGTCTGAACAATCAAGTAAGAAACCCTCCCCTTCACCAAACAAAAAACACCTACCAAAATGGGAAGAACACGTCAAGTGAGTCCCTCCCGATTCACTATCCGAGTGGGAGGACGTATCTCCCGTCCAAAGTTCCCTCGGCCAAGTTGGAACTCCTTGGTCAGAGTTTGGGTTCCTCACTTCCCTCTTGAGAGGCCCCCAATTGTAACCAAGGTGGCGGCTGCTCCAGAAACTCCCAAATCTGAGACCCACCAATCCAGTCAAAAGCTCTCGGCGGCCCTCGGCGATGCCACTTGGTGCCCTTCGGCGGCACGACGCGACGCCCTTCGGCGGTACCCCTCGGCCATCGGCGTAAGGCCCCCATCACCATCCCATGAGCACATTGCAACCCTAAACTCTTAGCTAAGGTCAAGTTCAAGGAAGGAGGGACCCTTCGGCCAGATGAATTCCTCCTATCTACAGGTCCCAAGCAGCGGTTATACTCTATTACTATCGCCACTCGTGATTTATTAATATATATATATATGTATATATAACACCTTAAGAATTTTTTTCAAAATAGCCTCTTTACCCTAAGCCCAAGGCTTTAGAATTAATCAAGCTTCTCCCGGCGCAAGGCCGAGGGGCGAATATATCGCCTCTTAATAAAAACAATTCTTTCTCCCTCGCCACCACCCCAAACTAGCCCTCCGCGTCAGGCGCCGAGGCCGAGGGGCGAGTATATCGCCGGCTACACCAAGTGTTGTAGCCATGAGGACCTGAGAGCCTCATGCAAGCTGTTCCCTTGAGGATGCCCTCATGCATGATTGTACATACACATAAAAAACTGAGGGGACAATACCCCTCGGCTCCGGCAGATACCAAGTGCCCTCGGCCATTTGTGTTTCACAAAATAAAACCCTTCCTTGAAACGCTTTCCGCGCCATTCCCCAAGGGAGTGGAAGGCAACGGACTATGTCCCGGGCCGAGCAAACGACTCTCAAACCCCTCGGGGTTCGGAAGGACAACCCCCACCAATATATTTGCTCACCGGCCCAAGGCCCCCTCTTTCTCCAAAGAGCATATGAGCGGCCAAGCCCTCATCATTCACCGATCAAACGGCCCAAGGTCTCATTCTTCTTATGAGGATGGATTAAGGGCCAAGCCCTCATCCCCTTACCAAAATGTTGACTCACAGGCCAAAGGCCCCATCTTTTTCCAAGAGAACGTATGAGCGGCCAAGCCCTCATCATTCACCAACATGGGTGATTTACGGCCCAAGGCCCCTCCTCTCCGCGAGGATGACTCAATGTACCAAGTACAAAGTGCGCCAATACGCCCACCATTCTTGAAAAACACCAAGTGTTTTTCAATAAGCCGTTCCCCTCGAGGACGCCCCCATGCATATTTCATGCATACTCATACATACATACATAAAAAAACAAAAAAAAAAACCGGGGGTACAATACCCTTCGGCTCCGGCTGGTACCAAGTGCCCCCGGCTATTTGTGTTCTACACACAAATAAAACCCTTCCCAGAAACGCTTTCCGCGCCATCCCCCAAGGGGAAGCAGGCAATGGACCATGTCCCGGGCCCAGGATTCGACTTTCACAAACGAAACACTCCCTGCGCTATCCCCTAAGGGGAAGCAGGCAACAGACCATGTCTCGGGCTGAGGGGACGACTTTCAAAACCGAGGCGCTTTCCACGCTATCCCCCAAGGGGAAGCAGGCAACAGACGATGTCTCGGGCCGAGGAAACGACCCTCAAACCCTTCGGGATATAGGAAGGTCATTCCCGAAGGGGGAGCCAACGGTTTGCTCCGTTGCCTCCCATATAGGCCAAGCCTTTCCTTGAAACCAAGTTTCTTGATGCCCCTCCTACAACATGCAAAACAAAAAACAAAAAAAAAAACAAAAAAAAAAGAAAAGAAAAAAGAAAAAGATGTGTATGGGGGAAGGAACTCCCCGGATACTTTTCTCCCCGGAGGCTCAACAACAATCCAGAGATACATTCCCGAAGGCTATTTCTAAAGATGCAAGGGAATCTCTAAATACAAAGTCATTCGACTACATGTCCGAAGGCTCTACTACATGAAGGTTCCACTGCAAGGAAGAAGGCTCACCAGCAGACTTCACCAAAATTTGGCTAAGTCCACAACTACAAGTCCTCGGCATTACCTCTCCCAGGAGCCTTCAGCCTCAAGGAGGGCACAAGAGTCTTGAACCCTCATATCGCACGGAAGCTTTTAGTCATGAGCCTTCAGCGTATGGCCTTCATGCCATCGCCCTCATGACCAGCGCGTGGCCTTCATGCTGCCAGCGCCTTCATCCTCGAGTTCCAACATTCATACGAAAGCCCTCAGC